GTATTTTTACTACTTATATAATCTTCCCCCTACCATGATAAAATCCTCTACAGAATTAAAGCCATTTATCGGCATTTAAAAATAGCACTGCTTATCTTTCAATTTTGTTTGCTGCAAATTCTCTAATCTAATTTCTAGAAAGAGAAAAGAAGAAAAGGAAAGAAAAAAGAAAAGTAATAACGAACGATGGATAGATTAATTACTCACAGAGTCGAACGTAGAGAATATATTGCATTGGAGCTCTGGCTGCAGTGTCCAGGATGCTTCCCCTGGTAGCCAGAAAGCAAATGGAAAATTCTACTATCATAGATAACACGAAAATGACTAGGTATCCCACGAAGTATTCCCACAGTAGAAAAACGCAGGTAACATTGTGATCCCAGTCGAGTACGCCGAGCAGGACGCCCAGCACTGTCACCCTGTAACAGAGACGATAAAAATACTTTTGACAAAGAGACTGAAAGAGACTTGTTATCTCTTTTTTTATTATTAGGCTCATTGCGTACGACACAGTTCTTTCGCAGAAAGAGAACTTTCACGACTTATGTATAACGAGTAGCGCACATCAAAGGATATAAACCTAAACCTCGTAAATGGTTTTCGTGGCTTTGGACGTCCTGGAATCCATCTGACATTTACCAACCCTCTCTAAACTCATTTCGCCTGTACTATATTTCATTGCCGACTCGTGGCGCGATATTTATGGCGTGCTTACACGAAACAGTCTGCACTTTGATAAAATTTGTAATAAGAGAGATAGCATACACGGATCGAGTGTCTCTCTTCCTGTGCCTTCTCGTTCGAAATCGTAAGCACAAAAAAGATTCATATCACTCGCAATAATATCGTAGATTCGATTTCTACTTTTATTTGTGTAGGTCACGTCTGGGCGGTTGCTGAGAATTTTCTAAAGAGATTATACGACGAAATTACAAATTCTTTTCTCAACTGTTAGCTCCATTTCCGGACAAAGTACATTCTTCTAAAGTAAGTAAATCAATGTCAATCAGAATATTTCGAATTTTTCTGTCAAAGAGAGACCGAGAGACCATGCTTCGGAGACGCAATTGTGTCTTGTGTCTGGCACTTGACGGAACTTTGACGGACTTTCCTCGCGTAAACTCGCCCTTGCGAAAGGGGTGAGTTCCCACGGATCCGCAGAGCCACAATTTCTACAATGAAACGAGCACACGGAAGCCACATTAATGTCGGCCTCGATCGCGAACCTTCCCTTAAATCACTTTCGCTCCACCGGTAAATTGCAATACCAGAATAGTTATCGAAAATTATTTCTTCATACCTCGCTACGTAACGGCGTGATTGCGTAATTACTTTGGCGAAGTATAAAATCAGAGTACAGTTGTTTGGCTCGATATTGCTTAGAGAATAATTTGACTTGTTCCTTATTTGATAAATAAAACAAAAAGCCGTGATTTATAAATTATTTGATTAAATTCAGTCGATCACGTATTTCGTGAGCGTATATCTAAGATCTCTTTAACGCGAAAAGAGTTGATAACCGGTATCGGATAGCACGAAAAATATCACTTTGCTCTGAGCAAATAACTTATCGTTGATAATCATCAATCGCTAACATCAATCATTTTTCAAACGATCTTCAACCACGCGAAACTTTTATGTATTTAACAAACCCTGTATCAAACATTTTCAATCGAGCGTGCAATATCTTAACTTGGCACTGTCTTAACCAACGACTGAAGCAATTCTTGGTATTGATCTCGAGCCAATTAATCGAGATTATTTTCCTTTCGTCCCTCGGAATACATTTCCGCTATCCCTCATCGATTTCTGAAATGACAATTGTCCCTGACAGTTGCACAACCGGGATTACTGCCCGAAATGGGACGAACTTCTCTTCGAGCTTCCTCCTTGTTTCGTCCCCCTTCAAGAATGATTAGTGCGACGAAGGGCGAAACGTTCGACGAACCAATTCTTTTCTTTTTTTTTTTTTTTCATCGACGTCAACGATCGATCCAAAACGCCTTCATAAATATTTCCTGCGTATAGACGACATCGTGTAATTTCGATAACCAATACTGCGATGCGTAGACAAAACCTGCTGAATCATTAATTGCAATTGTCGGAAATCCCGACGATATTTGATACGGTTGTATTTGTGAATTGTGAAATAAGTAATGATTTGTAAGGGAATTTGCATATCTGCGCGTATCGAACATTATCGATGTACACTTTTTTTATCAGAGTGTTCGTTAAGAATTTTGAACGATAAATTCACGGGACGAGACTATGCTACTGGATAAGGTAGAATTCTACTTTAACTGGACATATATATGTAGCTCGCGACAGTAAGATTCTGCTGGTAGAAACACAAGCGAAGCAGTGGGTACCGAATCCCACCATTGGGATCACGGGACCCGAGTTTCGGCATCGGAATTCCTCGCCGTCGTGGAATGCGCTTCGAGCCACCCCAAGATTTCGAAGCTTCGACACACACGTGTCGTCCCTAAAGTAGAGAGACGTCGGTTTCCAACGTCTTCGGGGTTGCAGGACCTGAGCGAAGCCAACCGGAGTTGTTATCACTTCTCGTCGTGGACTCAACATTCTAGATCAAGATGTTAAACTCGTGATATTCAAGATCGTAATTCCAGATTCCTATTCCGAATTCTGCTTCTTCAGATCTCAGGAATTTATTTTCGGAGTTCAATCTGAATTACGTGATTACGATGAGATTGTAACTTTCCAACGCTCGACGAATTTCTCAAAAATTTCTCCACTTCTGTATTGGAATCAATTCGAATTTTAAACTCAATTTCTTTAGACTAAAAATACGTTAATAAGTAAACACTGTAAATAACGTTTCTAGGATATCTTTATGTCTGAAAACATGGAAAAGAAAATCGTACGGCAAGAGGGGTTAAATAATACTCTTCTTTTCATCTTTGTACCACTTTCTCGGAACAATTAAGACGAAAAAGATCGCACACTCACAAAAAAAAAAAAAGGAACAAGAAATATATGCTGCAAGGTTCGCCACCTCTTTCTTTGAAACTCTTTGCATAAAAAATCGAGCGTCTAGGGGTTTCGTTCATTTTACGAAATCTCTTGAAAAAGCGGCAACAAGAAACAAAGTAAAAAAACGCGCCAGGCGGCTGTGAATGGAGTTACACAGCCGTGCTTTAATAATGCAACGTGTGCATCGTGTTCTATGGATAAAAGTCTCAAGGGATATGACCGATCGTCGCGCACCGCCGTTTGTTAGCCACTTCAGAAACAGGATCCCGACAACCTCGTATCATCGTTCTGTCCGCGGCGAAAGCGGAAAATGAACGTGTCACGGCGCGGATTGTTACTCCGGGACCGAGCTATTATTAAACTGGTAATATCACGCAGACGACGCGAACAATCTGTAACAATTCCATTCGCGAGATTTCATTTTAAATACTCTGAATCTGTTTGTACACGTTCGAATTCCAAGTACGCCCTTGATAGGGATAAATCGGCATTGTGCCAACTGATGCATTTCAATCCTCTAAAATCTCCAAGGTATTATTGCAATTATGATTTTATAATTATATTTCACTCCGAGGTATTTACTGCAGTTAAACAGACGAAATAATTAAAAGAACTCTCGTGGAAAAATCCTCTTCCTGCGCAAAGTAGTCGCCAAACGTACAAGCGCGAAAAACTTTCGTTCGAACCCCGAATTATCCGTCTGCCAATTAGCGGCAGTAAGTTACAACTCGATCGAATGGTCGCCCGAGTTTCAGTTAAACGAACAAAGTTCCTCCTGATTCACGATCACGATTTTTATTTCGTCGTTCCCTCGGATCGATCTGCGGCCTTTCAAGTTCATTGCTCAAGGCCGCGCGC